TAGCCCGTCTACTAACACATGGAGTATGTCACTTCACAGTTAACATAACTTCATTTTCAGTTTTGTATTGGTACTGAGTCTGTAGACCCAGGACTGAGGCAGTAGACCCAGGGCTGAGGCCTGTAGAAGTGGCTCCTATACAGGGCGGGGCCCATGGGTCGCGAGCAACCAGCTTTAAAGGAGCTATACCCGTTTTTCTGCAAGGTCTCGCTCACAGGTCTCTCATTTCCCCTACGCTCTCATCCCACAGAGCCATCTAGTTTTATTCACGATCTGATACATATGCTAACATTAGCATTAGGAGGTTTTCAGAATTATCTGTTAACGTTTTCATGACAATTATACTGTATTAATGTGACAAAAAGCAATCGCGATAAACCGGAAGTAACCGTTAACCTGAAACGAACATTTTAGGATTTTAGGACACATTTGAAGAGGATCTGTTATGGATTTAGGTTCAGTATATAAATGGGTCACTCACCGCTGATATTCAGAATTCTTTGTTCAGTTTTCATGTAGTGTTCCAGAGAGTTTTTTTTAACTAGCTAGCTTAGCTGTTACCCACCTAGCACGTCACGGTGAAACCTTAGGGAGCTAACTATTTTATTTAGTCATTAAATACATTTCGAATTATAAGGGCTGTCTTATATTTGTTCAAATATATATATTATATATATATATATATATATATTATACATATTTTTTATTTTAGAATTATATTCACATTTCAAAGTCAAAGCCCTAGTGTTTAGCAGCGCTGTAGAGGCTAGAGGAGGCAGCCTCGATCTGTGAGTGGAGGAGAACGATCGGCCCGCTAAGTCTCTACTATGCACTTTTCAAGGCCTGAATTCATACACAGCTGTCAATCAATGAGCTCAAGTTTTCAATTAAATTACGTAGTGTATTATAATACAACTTGTATGTAGTAATAAGCATTTTTATGAACTACTTAGAAAAAAAATATATAGCTTCTTTAATTGCAGAACGCAATGTTTGATGTTGAAAGAGAACTGTGTTATTTCTCACATCTACCACCATCAATAAGTTTGTGTAAGCCCTCAGTCGTACAGGGATTAGTCAAAGCAAAGGAAGGTTTCTCACCCATCATCTGTACTTCTTAGCAAGTTTTCCCGACGTTTCGTCCTCAACCTGGGGACTTCTTCAGGGAATGAATTCTCGGACCGCGCGTTGGAGATTTATAACCTATGGGTGTGGTAAGCCACACCCTAATCCTGATACTAACTCGTAAACAATCTCAGGTCTGCTTGATGTAGAAGGGAGCAGGTCTAACGACCCTGCTGAGGCTAACGACCCTAACTCCTTAGCATGTCACAGACCTATTGTCTGCTGGGATGCTCAAGTGGAGTGCAGGTTTCACCCCTCCTAACTCATTAGCATGTCACTGACCTTGTCCCAAGTTAGGGCGTTGTTTTTAGGATGTCGTCATAGATGCGAGGCAAAACAAATCTTAACCCTCCTCCTCTGTTAAGAGAAGGTTTTTGTTTCCTCACAAAAATGGCTTCTTTCACCCCTCTCTCAAACCAATTCTTCTCCCGAGCCAGAATTTTAACCTCTGTGTCATCCACCGTGTGGTTGGAGGCCTTGAGGTGGAGATGAACAGCCGACTGTGGCCCACTAGAGTTTTCTCTACGATGTTGGTAAAGTCGTTTCTGTAGAGTTTGTTTGGTTTCTCCAATATAGTGGTCAGTGCACTCCTCTTCACTACATTTAATTGAATACACCACATTGCTCTGTTTGTGTCTGGGTGTTTTGTCTTTGGGATGCACTAATTTCTGTCTTAACGTGTTGAAAGGTTTGAAATACACAGGGATTTTGTGTTGCCTAAAGATTCTTTGTAGTTTCTCTGAAACTCCCGCCACATACGGTAAGGACACGCCTCTCCTCCTACTTTCTTCTGTCTGTAGGACTGTGTCTCTGGCCTTTCTCGTCCTTTGGGCTTTAGTAAAAGACCACTTGGGGTAGCCACAGCTGGAAAGTGCTCTCTGAACATGTTTGGTTTCTCTGTTCTTTCCCTCCGAGCTTGTGGGGACCTGGTGGGCTCGGTGTTGAAGCGTTCTAATGACCCCGAGTTTGTGTTGTAGCGGATGATTTGAATCAAAGGCCAGGTACTGGTCAGTGTGAGTGGACTTTCTGAAGACCTCAGTCTCTAATTGTCCGTTCTCCAGTATGATGACCTTACAATCTAGAAAGGCGAGTTCACTCTCCTTAGCATCCTCGCGAGTGAAATTTATAAAAGGGTCCACCGAGTTAATGTGTGCTGAAAATGGTTCCACTTCCTGTTTCTTTAACTTAACCCATGTATCGTCTACATATCGAAACCAATGGCTTGGCGCTGTCCCATAGGTTATAAATCTCCAACGCGCGGTCCGAGAATTCATTCCCTGAAGAAGTCCCCAGGTTGAGGACGAAACGTCGGGAAAACTTGCTAAGAAGTACAGATGATGGGTGAGAAACCTTCCTTTGCTTTACCACCATCAATGTCAAAATCATATTATAATTATTTGACTTGCTTTAGTTGTGTTTTTTGCAGATCTACAAAGTCCATCTACAGAATGGTGTTCTCCTGTGATTAGTGTGGAAAGACGTTCTCGCAGTGGCTCTCTCAAAGTACATCAGAGATCCACACAGGAGAGAAACCATTTTGAGTGTGACCAGTGTGAAAAAATATTTAGGAGAAAATACCAGCTCTCACTACATCAGCACGTCCACACAGGAGAGAAACCTCACCAATGTGACCAGTGTGAAAAGTCTTTTACACGTTTATCCGTCCTCACTAATCACTACAGAATCCACACTGGAGATAAACCATTCGTCTGTGGAGACTGTGGGAAGAAGTTTACTCACTACTCCAGCTACAAAAAACATGAGAGAATCCACACTGGTCAGCTGTGACGATTGTGGTCAGAGTTTTTCTCGCAGTGGTTCTCTCAAAGTGCATCAGAGGATCCACACTGGAGAGAAACTATTTGTCTGTGAAAAGTGTAGAAAGTCTTTTACACATACAGTAGGTCATCTCTTCGTCGACACATAAAAACCTGTAGAGAAGCAGCTCTGAAGCATCTGGAAGTGAAGGAGATAGAGCTGAGGCTGCATCCTGTGAACCCAGAGTCAGACTCTACAGGATCTCTCTTCAGTCCGTCCACAAGTGCCGAGACCACTGGAGGATATGTGTGCATTCGTTTTTCTGTTTAATGTTTGTTTATCGGTCAGTTCAGTAAAATTCAGTTATTTTGTTTATTGTTATTTATTTACTATGAATTCAAAATGTGTTTGTTGTTTGGAAACAGTAAAAGTTGAACATTTTTTCTTGCATCGTCTTTGATTTTTTTCTGTGATGGATTCTTAGTTTTCCTCTTCTTACACTTACATGCGCTTTCTCCCTTTTGGTGTCATATTCATGTGCAAGGTGGGATTTCATAAAGTGTAGAAACAGAGCAGAGAAAGCCTCTTACTTTTAAGGAGATGAGGTCTGTTCCACTTTGTCTTTTTCATGTTTTAGAATTTAGATTAAATAATTAATCGTGTAATCACTAACTATTGGAGAGAGACCAGAGGGAGGCATTTTCGTTTAAGAATAAGATCTGAGAAGCTTCATTGGTTCCACAGTGCGGGAAATGTTTCGGTGTGGCAGCACAAAGTACAAGAAGGGAGAGCAATAATACACCGAGGTAAATATCAGTAAATTCTTCTTAATAAGAGCAATAAGATACGTGTTTAAACCACAGTAAAATGACTTCAGGCCCTGAAGGCTCACAGGTACATTCACAGATACGCTCACAGGTACGTTGTCCTTAAGATAAAAGAGGAAACATCCTCTTTTACCTTAAGGAAAATGGGCCTCATGTATGAAACTTGCGTACGGCCAAATCAGGGTGTAAATGAGGCGTACGCAAAAAATTTACACTTTTTGGCATCTCAATCTGGACGCACAGAATTTACACCAAGTCAGGAGGTGGTGTAAATGTGTACGCTCATTTCACCCTTCGTCACAACACGCATGAAATTCAAGATTTGGACAACAGTACTCATAGTCCCACTATCTGGCAAAATTAATTCTGATTTTTTTATGAATACTTAGGCTTATTACGCTACCGTGTGGTGTTGGTCATTTTGCGGTGGTACTTGGAGAGGCAAGTATTTTCTGAGGTGGTACTGGGTGTAAAAAGTTTGAGAAACCACTGCTCTAGTAGTCTGGTGATGGTTGGATAAAACGCTTTGCTGTTAATTGTATTGATAATTTTCCCTGTTGCTCTTTAACAGTTGGGATACTTTTTTGATAAATGATGTATTTACCACAAGTGATTACTGTTTTATTAGTAATCTCAGAGAACAGTCTTTTGATCCAGTCAGTGAATTGTTCTACACTAGATCCAGGAAATCAATGGACATAGCTAACACTTTTTTTTCTCCGATATGGAGTTCAACTGTTATGCACTCTATCAAAAATACTGTATAGTACAACGCTGCTCTTACCCCCAGTTACATATTTCAAATTCCTACCAAAAAGTTGTACATATATAAAATGTTATAGAATACACAATACACTATAGACAATGTGTTTTACAAAAATGAATGAACAAATGGATTTTGTGAAATATTTAATTATTGCCCTGATGTAGTTCCTATTTCTATTATCTCAGTCCTGTATGAATGGGGCAATAGAAACTAAACTATTTCATTGTCTTTATTGAAAAAAAACAATACATTGTTTTTTCCTTAAAGAAGCGGTCTCAGAGAATGGATAATTCCACTCTCGTAGACCATGTGTAGATGGTGAAAATGCCTCACTTTGAATTCGCCGTAAATCCAAAATGAGGCTTTTGACTTCAGCAGTTGGTGGTAGGACGTGTCTCATAACAACTATTGCTAAAAGTGTGCTGTTTAAAGGCACAATACACAAGGTCTGTGTTAGGAGTGACACTTGTGGTCAGTCACTGAGCAGCCAGAACAACCTCACAATGTGGTCAGACACTCTGGGATTAACACCACATGAAGATGGCCCGACACACGGACCTCAGAACGATGCCCAATGTGCGCTTCTTAGGAATCATCTCTAGATGTTTGGCAATGGCCGCTATGATGAGATCTGGGTCGGAAGAGGCAAACATACGCAGTGCCTTCTTGGAGTGAAATTGGCTTAGGTCTTTGTAAATGTGTTTTGCCACATCTACAATGTTGTTCTTATCAGGTTTTACCCGCACATCACACTGATTCTTTAATGTCTGCACATGCCCAAAGAGCAACTTGGAACACCTAGCCAGTTCCAGAGTCCTGAGGTTTCTGATGCCATAACACTCGAGTAGACAACTCAAAACCAGGTTGGACCAGTCGTCATCGCTCCAGACGAATGGTCAGCTGCTGTGCGTTCATCTCTTACCTCATCTGGCCTCTGGATTGGCCTCAAATCCACTGGTGCAGCAAGGTTTTCTCTGCTTCTGGTTCTCAAGTTCCTGAATGGCGTTCACGTCACAGAGGGCCTTATAGTCCAACCACAACATTTGCACCATTTTGTTGGTCAATACAAACTCTACTACCTGTACAACATGTCTCTGGTTTCTGAGGTGTGTTGATCTCTACGCAGCTCTCATTGAAAGACTCCGGTGAGGCTCTTTCCTGGATGGAGCTTAGTTGTTGCACGCTTACCCATTTCAGGATGCAGTCTGTGATGATGGTGGCACTGTACTCAGAATACATAAAGACCATAAAATGCATCCAGTCCCCAATTTCTCACTCACATCTTGGTATATTGCATCAGCTACTTCTTTGATGTGATGCTGATCAGGTTTGAGCTTAACACTATATCCAGATTTTTGTTGCTCCACATTCTTCAGGAGCAGCTGAAAGAACTGCTCTCTATCAGTTTCCTTTGAGTTGGGCAACACCTGAGAGCAAACTTCTTGCAGCAGGTAACACCAATCCTGGTCGCTCCATAGGAATTCCACCGGTGAAGCGGCTTCCCTGTCCTTAGATTTTGCATCCTCTGGTCTCAGCAGCTGCTCTGGCTTGTTCTCTTGACCTTTGAGCAACATTTGCACAGCAGCTTCTTCAGGGATTTTTTTTTAACTTGGGTGTAAGAACTGGTTTCACCCTGAGAATCCATGCATTCACTTTCCTCAAAGACTTGAGGGTCACGTGTGGTGAAGTCGGCACTGTGATGTCGCACATCATTGGTCTGCTCTTCAACTTTAGGCACCGGCTCAGAGCGGCGTCGCTGATGTTCCTGATCCCTGGCGAAACGCAATAATAGCTTGATATGATTTATCATTGTGATCAGATGTTCTTTGGGGGGCAGGTATGAGGTTATGGACTGTGTTCCATTTTGGCTCAGCCCAGAGTTGACACTGGCCCACACTTCTGTGCTCAAGGCCTTGAAGAGCGGAGCACATGCGTGGTGTGTGGTGCCCAATACGAAATGAAAGACATCAGTCAGACAGGACTCAATAGCTATGGCTACCTCTTCCTCTGACACCAGGGTGAACTCTGGTCCACTTAAGCGTTCCAAAACACTTTTGGACAGAGTGTCAATCATTTCCAACAACATCTCTGCCAGGACTTTCTTGGGCTTTGTCATCTGCAGCGCCTGCTTCCAGTACCTCAGTGCCACAGACTTGAGTTCCTCTGTGGAGATCTGAGACACAAAGCCCATTGAACTGGGCTTTGGAACGCAATACTTGTCAAAATCATACATACTTACTTTTTAAATTCGACACATTACTACAACTACTCTAAAATTAAATGTATAACTCGGTTGTCTCTTCTGTATGTACTTACCTCTCCTCTCCTTTGGTTGAACACCACTCAAAGGCCAGCCTTCTAAGAGGCATTGGCTTTGACGAAACCCTTTGAGGTCACTTGAATGGATGTTTCCATAGCAACCTATACATGGCAACCGATACATGGCAACGCTTCCATGGCAACAATAAAAAGAGAATAATATACCACCTAACCATCTATTGAATATGTGAGAATATATTTTTCTTTTCATAAGTTCATTATGAAGTATTTTCTAATGCTTGTCTTATGCACATTTTAATTGTTACTGTTATGCTACTGCACTGTTGTAAGCCAAAGAACAGTTTAAAAAAATGATTTACTGATTCTGATCTTGCAACAACACAACATCAGCAGAGTAACAAAACATAAGTAAACAAAACAAAATGACTGAATGTTTTGTCTTGTAGCCTCAAAAATATTAAGTTATGATTATGACTTATTGCATTTAGGGTTAAATGGTTATGGTAACATAAATACTGTTGTTTTATTGTTAAAAAATACCTTCAAAATAATGTATAACATATCACGGCCACAGACTCACAATACACCTTGCTCAATAGGTATGAATGTAAGTGAGAAAGTGAGTGATCGGTGTTGAATGGGGGCTTTGACGTGTGTGGAGTGAATGAAACAGACTCTGAAGCGCTTGAGGGGACCTTGGTGTGTAAAATGCGCTATATTAATAAACATTACTCACTTAAATACTAACTTACCTTTTCATAGACATGACATGAGACCCCTGCCTTATATGACGTTGTAGTGTCGTCGATACAACGACACAACAATGAGGAATGCAACTGCTCTGACCAAGGACTTGAAAGTCGAGAAGCGTTTGAAGCGTTTGCAGGTGGTGACTTGGAGGTGAGTAGCGCACGTTTTTACTTGTGGCCTGATTTCACAGTCTTTGTCTGGTTCAACTAACTCAAACGACGATTCACTTTGTTTTGTTGCAGCATGTGAACAATGAATGAATTTTGGCCCTGTGAACCATGTCGTGGTTGAAAGTTGAGATGGTGTCAGGGAGCGTGACGCATGATCTGCAGGGTTGTCGTCCGTTCGCACGTAGTGCCATTGTTGAGGCTTTGGGACTGACGAATGCGCTGCACTCTGTTGTGAACGTACGTGTAGAATCTCTTTGATTCGTTGAAGATGTATCCCAAAACTACCTTGCTGTCTGTGTAAAAGTGAATTTCATCAAACTGAATGTCCAACTCATCTTGAAGCAGATCAGCCATCTCTACCGCTAGAACTGCGGCACACAGTTCGAGTCTCGAGTGGGTTCTGACTGGGGAGCTAGTCTTGCCTTGCCCATGACGAATCCTACCTCAATTGAGTCGTCTGGTTGAACTGCTTTGAAGTAGGCTACAGCACCTATGGCTTTAATGGAAGCGTCTGAAAATAGACAGAGTTCTTTGCGTTCTGCCTGGCTGAGAGAACTGGAAGTATACCTTCTCGGAACATTGAGTTCTTTCAAGTCTTTAAGGGAATCCCTCCAAGCTTCCCATTTGGTTTGCTTTTCTTTTGGAAGTGGAGTGTCCCAGTCTGAGCTTTCTGAAGTGAGTTCTCTTAGTAGAGCCCTTCCTTGGATAGTGACAGGCGCCAATAGGCCAAGAGGATCAAAGATGCTATTAACGGATGACAGGACACCCCTACGAGTGAACGGTTTTTCTGTGGTTGCCACTGAATATTTAAAAGTGTCTGTTGTTGTTTCCCAAATGAGACCTAGACTTTGCTGCAGTTGAGCTTCTTCGCCACTCAGATCTAAATCTTTAACAACTGCTGCACAATCCTCAGAGCTAAAGGCTTGCATGACTGTCTGTGAGTTAGAGGCAAACTTGTGCAGTCGCAGATTGGACTCAGCGAGCGAGGCTTTAGTTCTTTGGAGCAAGTCTATTGCTCTGGTTGGAGAAGGCACGGAGATCAGGCCGTCGTCAACATAATAATGTCTCTCCACGAACTTGACTGTGTCAGTACCATAGTTGTTTGCTCCAGCTTGAATTGCTTTGCGGAGCCCTGTAAACAGCTACAGCAGGAGATGGAGAGTTGCCGAACACATTCTTTCATACGGTATTCAATGACCTCTTTGTCGACATCATTGTCCTTATGCCACAGAAAACGGAGTTAGTTGCGATGGTCTTCGCGCACCATGAAACAGTGAAACATCTGCTGTATGTCGGCCATGATGGCAACACTCTCTTTGCGGAAGCGAAGGAGGACTCCAATGAGACTGTTATTTAGATCGGGGCCAGTAAGGAGCACGTTGTTGAGTGAGACTCCGGAGTGCTGGGCGCTGGAATCGAAAAACTACCCTGATTTTGTTGGGCTTTTGTGGGTGGTAAACCCCGAATGTTGGAAGATACCAGCACTCTTCTCCTTGCTTTAATGCAGGTGCTACTTCTGCATGACCGTTTGAGAAAATACCGTCCATGAACTCCACAAACTGCTTTTGCATGAGTGGCTTCTTTTGCATACTACGTTTAAGGGATTGAAACCGACTGACTGCTAGCTCTCTATTGTTCGGCATTCGCTGGCGAGGCTCTTTAAAGGGCAGAGGGGCGACCCAACTATTATCGTCATCTCTGTACATGCCTTTGTCCATTATCTCTAAGAAGAGAGTGTCCTCAATGGAGGGAGCTAGCTTGTTGTCGTTCTCAGTTCGGTTGAACACCGTCTGTCCAAGGGTTTGCTCAGGGGATTTGATGGGCCCGTTCACACGTGAAGCTTCTTTGAGTTGCAGGAAGTTATCGCATTGCCCAAAAAATGTGGGACGGCCATTTTCTAAAATCACTGTCTTGAATGAGTTGACTGCAGGCTTGTGGACGTTACCCACACAAACCTCCCCGACTACAACCCAACCTAAGTCTAGGCGCTGAGCAAAAGGTGCCTGATTAGGACCATTGATTTGTTCTCTGACCTTGTGTGCATGTAGAACATCTCTCCCTAGTAACAAAAGTATTTCTGCCTGAGGGTCCAGCTCCGGAATGTACTTAGCTATCGACCGGAGATGTGACTGATGAAGTACTGCATTTGGAGTTGGAATTTCGCTCCTATTGTTAGGGATGTCTTGACATTCAATGAGAGGTGGCAGTGGGATTACTACTGACCCATCTAAAGACTCAATCTGAAAGCCTTCAGCCACTTTGCCCCATGTTTCAACAAGGCCAGAACATGTTCTTAAGTTATAGCATACAGGCTCATTCTTAACATTAAAGTGCTCAAAGAACTCGGGCCTGGCTAGGGAACGGTTGCTCTGGTCATCAAGGATAACATAAGCTTTAACTGCACTGTCTTTGCAACCTTTAGGGTACACCTGTGTGAGACATATTTTAGAACATGAACGACCCCACTGACCTGGACCGCACACCCCTGTACAGCTTGTTGTCACTGCAATGTTGTCTGAGTGACTTTCTCCCTCCCCGCCATCGTCCTGAGCGGGAGAAGGAGCCTTGGAGAACTGTGGTGGAGGGCCAGGATGCATAATGGTGTTATGGCTTGTACTTTCACATTCAGAGCACGTCACCGTAGATTTACAGTCCTTAGCGAGATGAGAGTCTGAAGAGCAGCACTTGAAGCAGATTCCTTTCTCTTTGAGGAAAACCTTTCTCTCATCCAATAATTTGTTCCTGAATGTCCTGCATTTTGTTAGTGGGTGTGGCTTATTGTGCAGTGGGCAGTCCTTGTTAATGTCTTTGCTGGGGGTTAAAATGTTTGTTTTGTGCACAGAGATTGGTTTGGTTGAGTTGAAGTTCCTTTGGTTAAATCTTTCTGGCTTCAAGTTTGTTTGACCGTCTTGTCGGTTGAAACTTGGATCATTGCGTTTCTTAGCCTCTCTGCATATGAACGTACAGAAATAATCAAAGGGTGGAAAACAACCACCATTGTCCTCTTTATACTGTGAGCCTTGAGACATCCATTTATCCTGGAGTCCGTATGGGAGCTTTTCCACTATCGGCCCAATGCCACGAGAAGTGTCCAGATAAAGCAGGCCGGGAAAATAGCCATCCTCCTTAGCGCCCTGGATCTCTTGTAATAGATCCCCTAGTTCCCGCAGCTTTACATTGTCCTTTACTGATAACCTGGGAAAACTGTCCAATCTCTGAAACAGTGTTTTTTCAATTATTTCAGGGGCTGCATAACACTCATGGAGTCGATCCCATGCCTTCTGAAGAGCAACAGTGGGGTTATTGACGTGTACCGAGCGAATGCGTTTCACCTGATTGCTTGACTCTTTCCCCAGCCATTTCGTCATGAGGTCAAGCTCTTGTGTTGGTGTGAGATGAACCTCGGCTGTAGCGCCTGTGAAAGAGGAGCGCCACGCTCTAAAGTTCTCGGGTCTATCATCATACTCGTAAAGACCTGAAGTGATGAGGTCCCGACGTGCCATGTATTGTGCGAATGGCTCAGCTGGATGTAACATGTTTGTTGGAGTATTGAACTGAGGCGTGAATGGACTGGAGAAAGGATGGAGAGCTTGTTTTGTTTGTTCAATTCTTGGTTTAGTCTCAACTTTGGAGCTATTTGCATTTTTGATGAGAGCGGGTGTGTCATTATTAAGCTTTGGCCTATCAGAGATGGGTGGTGGAACTGTGTCTGAAACAGCGTCTCCAGATGGGTTCCAGGTGACGAATGTGTCATTTGAAAGAACTTTCTGACTATGGCTGTCTTGCACTGGTGCGGAGTCATGTGGCTTACACAAGTTCATTTGAGACTGCACATATTCCTTTGTACGTTCTCTTTTTATTCTCTCAGAAACTGACTTTCTGCTCTCCTCTTGTATTGCCTCAGCTTCCTCTAGTACTTCTGCCTCTGCTGCAGCAGCGTCTGCTTCTCTTATTAGCGTTAGCACTTCTAGCTTTGCATCAAGTTTACATT